CTTTCTGCTTCTCTGGTTGTTTCAATAAGACGATAATTGCAAATATTCTTCTGGTCTCTGTTTTTATATTTACCATATTTACTATATTTTTATATTTATATATTTATTATATTATGTATGTTATATATAATATACATATTATATTATATGTATTTGGATTTATATACTTTTTACTATGCTTACTATATTTTCCATTCTGACCAAGACTTTGAGGAATTCCTTAATGGGTTTGGCTCCATATAACCAACAGTGATATAGGCAGATGACAGTGACATCGGGAACTCTTAATTGATCTTTCCTGCGCTTGCTTCCCTTCCACTTTGGAGGAAGACCTTTGACCCTACCTTGAAAGTTATCAATCCTCCAGGTATTTTTTTGTAATTCCCCATATATGTAAGAGAATGGTATGTCTATTTTATATTCTACCAGGTTTTCACCCATAGCAAATATCCTTGTGCTTCCTTTGTCTCTCAGAAAACATGGAAGTTTGTATCTAAACATACATGGTTGTCCCTACTCATCTCGTGGGCATTTAAATTCCAGGCTAGAGAAACATTTAAAGGAGCACTCAAGGCACAGTCACAAAATCACATGCTCTTTTACCTTCATATTCCATCAACAAAGACGAACTGCCACAAATGTCAGAATTCTAGGCACCCAAGACCTTAATCCTGACCCACATGGTCACATTTACACAGCTGTTGCACCTAAATGCCACCCGCCTTCCATCACAAAAATACACATACATCTCAGGGTATGTGAAATAAAGACTTTTTCAGAATAAGGAATTTAAAGATGGTTGGGCAAACTCTTCCCTTGAGGATGTGGCAGGTATGGAACTCTGCTGCCTTTCAGACACACATGAATATAAATATTACCATTATTACATGAACAATAAATGAATGCAACCCTAACTTATTTTACCTTCATATTTATGGGTTTTTTCCTACTCTCAACATGAGAAAACTGACTCCCAACCAATTACTATAAAATTTGAAACAAAATTGTGTTTTATTTATTCAGAGAGGGGCCATTACAGTTCCATTAGCTGACTTCTCCCAGGTCCTGCCTGTCCAACTCCCCCATCCACCAGGGCCAGATGCTGAATAAATATAAGTGATAGTACACAGTCGGGTAATAGATATGACACCTTTTGCACTAATAACCCCTTCTCTCTGGGGCCAGTGGAGATTATAAGAGAAATTTGAATTGGATAAGTTTAGGTTACACTAAGGAAGATAGTGTCCATCATGGCCTGCATCCCTCTACCCCTCTTGCTCTTCTCTCATTTCTCCATGAATAACAGGCTTACATGATCAGCACCCCACTCCCCAGCCTGAGTCCACAGCCTCTGGTTTGTATCCACTAGAAACTCCAGTGGATAGTCTTGCTCCCCCAAGACTATACGTTGTTTGCCTGTTCCCTATCCCAACCTGTGCTGGCTAAGCCACCATCCCTTTATGCATCTCCTGGAGGACACTTTAAACTCACCTGAACCTGATTATAGGTGACTTCAGAATTTGCAAGCACCAGAAGAAACCAGGGAGCTCTCCCCTATTTATCTTGTATTACTGCTCAGAATCAAGCATGTACAAGGGCTCTAGAGTTTCCAATCATTACTCTGGACCTAAAGACCACTCATTAAATGCAGGGCTTTTGATTATCTCTGGACACCAATCTAAAGTTCAGGCTATTAATGTCAAATATACAAAAGCAAACCTAAGACTTACATAGTGTATTAGGCCCAGAAAGATGTGAGTAAACAGTTTCCCTGCATTCTTCCTGCCTGGTACACTCATTGCTGCACTGCCTGGGATAAAGTCTACCCACAGAAGGTGGCTCATGTCTTTCTGGAGGAAGAATGCAAGCATTTTCATCTGTCTCCTATCTATAGCACCAATGAGTGTCTGAGTTTAGAGTCCCTCTTGCAGCCTGTGATGACTCAGCCACCCTCTTCATCTATCTCTATAGTGCAAACTCACCTGCACCATGAGTTGGAGATACAGCTACAACTTTTCCTTGGATTTATGGATATGAAATAATCTTTTCTCATTAAAATGTTAGTTTAGTCTTTTGCTAACGCATTCTCACCCTGATCATGTCTACTATGGCCTAAATCAGACCCCAGGTCTTAGTATTCCTATAGAGATATGTTAGATAGGGAAGAAAATTACTGACCCCCGGTGGCCAGTTAATGTCAAGGCCTGAATCAAAGACATAAGTATATGATCTGAGCACTTCAGGTTTGTCAACTGAGTCCATAGTTCCCAAGCTCAGCTTAAACAAACAGCTTCAAGCATGAGGTCACCTTCTCCTGTATCTTCTAGGTCCAAGTTTTCCCTAGAAACTGTCCTTTCATTCTGAGTCTCAAGTAGAGTAGTCTCTGTGGCTCCAATGATGCTCTGCAAAGAATTCTTCCACAATGAGATGAGATTGTGAACTGCCAGTGAACACAGAGGCCCACAGCATCAGAAAGCTCCACTTCACAAAGGGCCCCACTGCTGATTCCATCACCTTGGAGAATTAGACTTCAACGTATGTAGTCTGAGAGGACACAATCTCACAGAACACAGAATGTAGTAATATCATTTTTTTTTTCTAAATTCTTCAGGAGCATGAACACTGATTTCAGTCTTGGCCATGTATCTCCTCTGAACATCTGTAGATTCTTCCTCCCTATCACCCATCCTATCATGGTTTGTTGTCCACTTACTTTGTTGAAGGATAGACCATCTAGTGAAACATATCCTGGTGAATTCCAATCAAGTCCACCTAGCTGCCCTGATTCAGCCTATTTCTGCCTCTCATGAGAAGGTAGAGGAACTACAAAGACTTCTTAGTACATTCCTATAAATGTATGAATGCACTCTGAAGGATGCCAACACCAAATGACATTGAAGTTTTCCCATTTGCAGATGGCACCCAAAATGTACAATTAACTCCCCTGAATATGGCTTTTGAAATCTTGAACTTGATGTGCTATTATGTTCTGTAGTGGGATAGTTACTTGGGATTTTCACCGAACACATGGTGATGGATTACATTGAGAGTCAGAAGAATCCAGGTCCCGTGAATTGGTGGGGACATTAATTCAAGATTAAATGTAATCTCTTTAATCCTTCTCACTATTTATGCATCCTTTCAGTCTTCTGCAGGCCACTGTCCTCTAACCTCTGTGCTCTAAAGCCTGCCACCATGAATGTGGTGCTATTGTTTTTCTGGAGCACTGCATGGAATCTGTCACACTTTAGAGAAAATTGTCTGTGTAGCTTGGAGATGTCAGTCTTCTCCCTCCACTTTATCATTTGTCCTTGGCTGAGAAATGCAGGAGTTGAACAAATGATGACTACCTGTGAAAGGACTGTCTTTGATCCTCAGTCTCAGGGTACCAAGAGAAGCTGTATGGGTTTGGGGGCTTCACCATTTTTTGTTCCAGTGATGAAAGATCTGAAGTGTACCAGATTTTCAATTAAGACTTAAATATTTCTAAAGTAAAATCTCAGAAATTTTAGTTCTGGATGGTACCAAACATTTTCTCCTGAGAAATATTATGCCAATGACAAAATAAAAATTAAAATTTGTAAGTAAAAATTACAGATCATGCAATTATGCAGAGTTGTAAGTTTTGTTTTCACCACTGCAGGTGTTTATTCCCTATAGGAATTATCAGAATCAACAGCTCAGACCAGCAGGAGGGGTTCAGCAGTTAAAATGGAAATATATTTGCATGAACAGCCCCTCCTCTGAAAAAGGTGAGGAAAACAAAAGGAGACCTGAGATAGCCCAGCACAACAAAAGGGATCCAGGATCTGTGCCCACTTTTTCCTGGACACCTCCTTCTCTTGCTCCATTCTCATTGTACAGGTAGAGGCAAGTCTCAGAGCTATTGGGCAATTTCAAAGCCTACTTCTGTCTTTTTTTCTCATATTTTTGTGAAAAACTTCCCTTGTCAATGTCACATTACCCTTGACTTTCTGTATTTTCAGGTTCTCTCACCTTGCCAGTGGTGACTCAGCTTCCTTTCATCTCTGTCTGTATCTCCAGAAACTTCTGTGAGACTCACCTGTACCCTTAGCAGTGGCTTCAATGTTGGAGACTATGTAATAAGGTGGTATAAACAGGAAGCCCTCCTAGGTTTCTTCTGTAGTACCATACAGACTCAGATAAGGACAAGGGCTCTGGAGTGCCCAGCCACTTGGCTGGATCGAAAGATACATCATCAAGTGTAGAGCTTCTCCCAATCTCTGGCCTGCAGGCAGGAGATGAGGTGGACGATTACTGTCAGATATGACACAGTGGTATTCACACTGTGACACAGGTTGAGGGGGATATTGGACAAAAACCCAGCTGGCTCAGTGTTCTGGACTATGGCTCTTCTTCAATTGTAACATAGCTTGCACCTTCACTAAATACATTTGCAGGCAGCTTCACATTAACAGCATCACTCCTTCTAATTTCCCATTCAATGTTCCTTAACTCTCAGATAATTAAAA